AGGAACCGGGGATCGAACCAACAACCTTACGATTAGTGGACGACCCGCTCTGCCTCTGCACCACAGCCGTTATTCTATCAGTTACACATTTCACAAGTCAAAAGTTGCCTTTTAACTTGACTGCAAATGGTCTCAGATCACCTATTTTGGTGTTTTCCCCACAGCAGTCCCTCTTTTAATCATTATATGAGCAAGTTAGAAACAAAAAGGAAAAACACAAAGTGGAGCTCTCAAACACAGCAATCGAAGGTACAAGCCTCCATTTTTCTGTTAAAGATGTTTTTGCTATTGTAGGCTGATAGTTGTCAAACTCCTATTATTATTCTTACACTTGGGTCTGCCAACATACAGCATGACACAATTCATTTTCCACCCGTGTAATGGCTGACAACTTCTTTTATTTCATTGTGTTCATTTCAGCTGAATTTTGGTTTCTCCCTGTGCACTGCAGTCAGTCAACTGGGGAGACCTGCAGACAGATGGGTGCTACCCCTGTGTCACATGACGTCTGTTGTCAGCCTGTGGTACCGCTACTGGCAATCGAGGCTGGTTCTTTATGGAGGTGGCTGGCACTCCTGCACCCTGCTAAATCTGTATTTAACTGAAGGTATCTCTCTCATACCCAGTGCACGACATAATGTTTATAGAACTGCCTATTTTGAGCTTGTTGTAATAAAATAATAAAATATTACACTGTACTGTGTCTGCCCTTGAGCGCCGCCGTTTGTCACTGCCTCAGAATGTAGAGCTGTTTAAGAATTATTTACAAAACAAATCACTTACAGCACCTTTAACACAACGTGTTTTGGAATTTTAATTTTATAAACACTGTCTTTTCTGAACTTAACTACTTATTTTCCAGCCCTCTAGCCACAGCCAAACCTAACTGAACTTTGACCTGCGTTAGTATTTCCCCTATACTGGGACATCCGTGTGGCACACAGCCACAGTTTTACCACACAGAATCAGTAATCATTAATAATTAAAATTCTATTTGGAGATTCAAAATCGATTCATAAAAGCTGCAGTGCTCGGAGAGACCATGCAGAAAGATAATGTCCTGAGGAATTCAAAATAAGTCACTGTGATTCCACACATGGCAGGTATACAGTATGTGTGGATGTGTAACCTGACAAATACTGGACTTTTGAGGTCACTATTAGTAGGGCTGTGTATTGGCAAGAATCTGGTGTTACGATACGTATCATAATGCAGGGGTTACGATTCAATATAATGCAATGCTATAACATAAAATATGATAATTGCTGTACTTAGCCATGTGGTTTCTGTGTAATTAAATAATAAAAACATTTAATAACTCT